CAGCAGGAACTCACCATCTTTAACAACGTTGAGGTACACCACATGTTTATTTATAACACCACTGTTGGTACCACAGCCGTACCATCCTGTGTCAGACTTGACCAGCTGTCTGATGACCACATACAGCACTCCTGAAGTCACACTTGTTTCTTGATATTCAATGCTGTATTTGTGGTTGTCAGCTGAGTTAGCAGTCGTTGCAATGAGAACATCTTCTCTTTTACATTCTGCTTTACAGAAGAACTTCTGCTTTCCAGGAAAAGAAACCTGGCAATTAATTATGGCGCTTTGTCCTTCAGTTTTTGTGATAGTATCTGCATCGACGAGCCCCGCGTTTCCCCCACACAGAGCTGTTGAACAGATGTAAATGAACACTGATGACCAGAACTCTCTGTGTTGCAGACTTACTGTAAAACAGACTGTGGGTCGATCCGTCACTTCACGGTGAAGCAGAGATGATACACAGACTTGTAATAGTGGTAAAGTAGCAGCTCTCATATTTATAAGTATCTGTGACTGGTCAACATTTTTAAAGAAAGTGCTCAGGAGCCTGTTTCATCAGCTGAGTTAGCAGTCCTTTCACACAGCAGCTCCTTTACTGTGCAGAAAAAGAAAACTGTTTATTATTATAAGTTGGATTATAGAGATGTTGCCGTGGCAATAAATAAAACTAGAATGATAAAATCCTGTACACAGTCTGACAGCAACATAAAAACCCAATAACTAGCTTGTGTGTGTGTGTGGTGCAGCAGAAAGAGATGGACAGGTGATCAGTCCTGACCTGAGACGAAGCAGAAGAACAGGATGTGGTGGATCTTCATTCTGAGTTTGATCATGATGAAGAAAAGCAACTAAACTGCCGGAGAACTCTCTCGGTCACTTTGTTCCTTCCACTTCTGTTGGTCTGATCAATATAGAAGCGAAGGTTGCCCAATTTTATTTGTACTTCCTCTCTTCTCTCTCTGTGGGAATGTGTCCTATGTCGCCTATGTGACCTTTGTAAATGAAACCAGTGCAAAGTGAATTTCCACTGAATGTCAACAGTGGTCACATGGTGCATCAGCAGTGTCAACTAGTTCATATTTAATGTTCACCAGGAAGCTTACTGACACTTGTGTGAATATATTGTCTCTTCCTCTTTGTATTCACCTCTGCTGTGGTTCACATGATGTCATTCACTGTGGTTTTGACATCGTCTCTGTTTAAAACTTACATCTGTCTGTGTCATTCAGTAGCATTTTACAGGCTGTTCCTGCAAAATGAAGGAGGGTTCATGTGTGAAGTTAAAGGGGAACTGTTCAGAAAAACTCATCAACATGTTTTTCAAAAACCTTAGGAAGAAATCTGACTGTTTTGTCCAGTTTTCTTCACCCGGTAGCAGGAAGTTCTTCTGTAAGAAAGAACATAAAGAACTGAAAGAAGTGGTGACAGAGCTCAGTGTGGCAGGCACAGCTTAGAAGATGGATGTACAGCAGAAGGAGGGTTTCTTTCTTCAAGCCTCATGCAGCTGATCACGTCCAACTCAGAATGGTAGCACACTGGTTTGTAAAGATATTTGGTTCCAGGTTCATACTGCAGCTTTGGTCTCTGAGGTTCTGATGGTGAGTTACCATTGAAAGTACCTAAACCTGAATGTGAACACATCATCTTACAGGAAGTACGAACAACATACAAACACACTGTCTGAGAAAACAACAAGGGGCAGCACAGACCACATATTTAAGGAATGAGGTCAAGGTCGAGGTCAAAGTGTTTATTTGTCATATGCACAGTTAGGAAACGTGTTTCCCTGTACAATGAAATTCTTACTTTGCCGTCCACATGAATGCCACAAAATACAAATGAAATATAAAGTAGATAAATAAGTAACACAAAATCTAAGGCACTTTAAGCAGCAAATGCAGCAATATAATAAAAAT